TGAACTCTTGCAAGTCCGACACATTGGTCACACCAAGGGTAATCATCACCTCACTTACATGAGGGGTATACACCCACAGGTGTTGGTTGCGAGCCATCCAATTTTCAATTGGCTCCTCTGGATTGTGAAGCTGAGTGCTAGTAGATGCCGCCACCGAATTCTTTTGTTCATCAGCCTCTTCTTCATCCAGAATACCCTTTTCACCACCTTTTTGTGACACATTGGTCATCTGCAGCGCTTGTGGTGCTGAGGAGGACGAGGATTCTGCTCACCCACTTACTGGTGGTTGAAAAGCGTTCCTGTCAGGAATCTCCAATCCCTTTGCCCTTTGAAAGGACACATGGTTTGCCACATTCACCAAATGCTTCAACTGGGCCAGCCGGTCCTCAGACATCTCTTCGTGAGAATACTTGCAGCCAAATCGCACACGACATCTCCCTTTGAGATAGTAGTCAAAACAGCAATGGTGGAACCCCGCGTCCCTTAGTGCCCTTCTGGAAGCATTGTCCCAAGATTTGCCAGGCTCCCAAGTCCCTTCCAATGCCATGTCATCGTCGTGGAGATACCTGCACGCAGTCCCATATTTACAACCACTTTGATTGTAATACAGACACAGCCGTTTCTTCGTTTCACCCAGCGTAGGCTCACCTTTTGATGTCCCTTTGCCATAGTTGTACTGGGCTCGGAAGGCCGAATCCTCCCGCTCCTGCTGCACCTCATCCACTGTACCTTCATCAGTTGGAGGGCCACCGATGTCCCCATCCTCGTCACCAGTTTTTTGGCTGTTCTTTGGCTCAGTTGGCTCTCCTTCAGGCCACCCTTCACCGTAGCGACGATGTTCATAGGAACACCCATCTCCATTTCGACACCTCCCTTGATTGAAGAACCTGCACAGCTTACTGTATCCAAGTGACACAGTCTTCGGAGTCGTGTGAGCCTTTTTGTACTGTTCGGGATCCATATAGGCTTCTATTGGCCTGTTTTCCCTCTTGCTCATCTCCTCGACTGCACCATCAAGCTCTTGCAGAAATCGCTTGGTGTCCAACCACAGCTCGTTCCAAAGCTCATCTTTTCCTTTGCTCAGCAACATTGCCACCGCTTCACCCACAACTGGTCCACTAAATCTTCTTTTCTTGCGTGCCAGTTCGTAGAGCGCGTCGTGGTACTGCTTCCGGGAAAAAGTGGTTGTTTCTTCCACACCGACACGTTCTTTCTCCTCAGGCTTCCAATCATCACTTAGCAAGATGTTGTATGCGCTCCGAGCCTCATTATTCAGGAATGCATGATCTGCAATACACTCCAGAATCACATCCATTGAACGACCCAGCAACATCCCAGTGATTTTGCCCACGTAGTCATTATCAATTGTTTCATCTTCCAGGAGATTTCGACAGATCTTCTCTCCATAGAGCTGTTTCTGCTCCGCTTCCTCTTGTTCCTTCGAGGATGCTTTTGACTCGGCAAACCACTCACGAGACTGCGGTTCCTCTGACTTCCAGTCCCATTGACCATCGGAACCTTTGTACCATTGACCAGTCTGCCATGAGCCTGTCCACCATGTACCCCAGCCGCTGTCCTTCCATTTGCGCAGCTTTGGAGAGGAATCCTCCTCGTTCTCTTCCAACACCAGAAAGGTGTCCAAGATTATGGTACCATCATCTTCCACTCGTTTCACTGTTCCATTGACAGTATCACCAAATTGGAACTGATGTACATTGTTCCCTTCTGCAGGAATCAATACATTTAGATCACCATAGTCCAAAAAAGCTCCATACCCATTGATGCAGCGCACTAGACCAGTGATCTTATCTCCCTCTTCATAGCAATGTGTCCCAGGTGATTCCAAGGCTCCCGCTCGGGGCACTTTCTTTGCATGCTCTTCAGAAACCATCTCTGTATCATCGGCTCCTGGCGCATCCTTTGTCTTCACCTTTGGGTCACACTGCTCGTCCTGTTCCACGAGTCCCACAAGCTCATCTTTTTTGTGCTCTTGGATTTCAGGACTTCCCTTTTTCTCTGCCAAAGGCTTTGCCTCATCTGCTTCAGTTCGCTCGGTGTCGACTTCCGGTGAACTTCCAGACGGCAACGCTTCTCCCTTCATGGGAGTGGACCCTTCATTGGTGTCCTTTGTCACACCTTCTGCAGCAGGCAAATTTTCTTCCGCTGCAGGGCGATTGAGTTGATCATCCACGGCAGGCACACTTTCTTCCACCGCAGGCTCCTTTGGTTCCATGGTTTCCAAAGGAGAATTGCCACCATCATTGACCACAGCTGCCTCATTGGCTCCGGTGTAGTCCTTGTCATTTCGTTCCTCGCGGCTAACTTCAGGTTGCACCAGTGCGTCCACCTGTGAACCTCCATCATCAGCTGCTGCGGAGACCTGCGCCCCATTGTTGCAGTCGCCCGTGGAACGTAACACCATATGCACCTCAACCCGTGCCTCCTTCGCACTCCAGGTACTATCTGGCGCATCGACCCGCGCTTCATTGGCGCTCCAGGCCTCATCTTTCCGATCAGCCGTGTCTCCAGCAGTTTCAGAAGTTTCCTTTTCCCTTTGAATGGCAGAATTCTCGGCACCAAACGAAGAGACCTCCTCAGTCGTAATGCGCAACTTTTTCTCTTCGTCATCCAAATCTCCAGGGCCATCTTCCTGAACGACAGGCACCACATCCACCACTCGCTCTTCTGCAGCCGACACAATTCCGATCTCCACATTGGGCATTTTTTCTTCTGGACCCACCGATTCCACCGCTGCCACACCCTCAGAAAGCATCCCCATTTCTTCCCGATCCAGATGTTGAGCTTCAGCGATGTCTGTTCGGTTTCCAGAAATCCCCTCTTCATCAGGAGAACCCGAGGTCGGGGCGTCACCACCACCCCTAGGACCGCTATCCCCGATAGTAGAGGAAAAATCCTTTTCACTTACACTATTTACACCGCTGTTCACACTTTCCATGCTACCCTGCTGTGCCCTAGAAGACTCAGTAGATGACGGAGACGAGGTAGCACCCGGCGCTGGCTCATCTTCCACAGGGACAATGCCCATTCCAACACCTGGCCCCTCGCTGTTTCCAGCCATTCCAGTCTTCTTAGGCAACACCCATTGGGTATATCCAGTGTCCAAGCAGTAAAAATACTCTCTCCCATCCTCATGAAAATGGCGTTCCCATGTCTTCCCATCGCAGTCGATGATTGGAAGGTCAGCAGCCTGAGACGCTTTGCCTCCACCACCAGCGTATAAGTCTTCATCTGACTCCTGCTGTATTCTTGCTGCCTCCAATTCCAGGATTTCTCCTTCGCTCATCACCATAGCAACAGGAACGACTCCTTCTGCGTCCCCAACGACGAGGATACTGCTTTTTGTCGCAGCAACAGGCGCAGTTTCTTCCACTTCACCTGTCAACAGATCACCACTTTCAGCCGCGAAACTCACCTTGTTGCGAGCTCGCTTGGAAACAGGGATAACATCCCCAACCAGTTCTGTCTGGCACCCTTGCTCCACCATGTTTGACGTAGAGGAGCTTGTTGTTGGCGCTCCCGTTGATTCAGCAGATTCTGCAGCTCGAAGAAGATGCCCATGTTTGCTCAGAAGGCGCAGCAAAACTGCTTCCATCTGGTCTTCCAGTCCTTCCACCACCGGCTTCTCTTCGCCACGCATACCACCAACATCAACCAGAGCTTCCACATTGGGAACAATTTTTTCACCCGTTGCAGACCTTTTGACACCACCTTCACCTTGGTCGCCCACATTGGAGCTTGATGATGCCACCCCAGTCCGTAACCAGTTGGTCGCCATGGCTTCAAGCTTCCACCCTAAAGCCGAAACACAAACCGCAGGGAACCTAATTTGGGCTCATAACCTACGGGGGGAAGCCGAAGGGGGACGAGAAACCGAAAAGTCAACCCCAACAGAATCCCTTGATTTCCCTGGATCAACCACACAACAAACCCAAACCACAGGGCACTCACCTTTTACTACCAGGCACATGGCCCAGTCTTGAGCCATAAAAAGATTTCCGGGTATATTAACCCTTTCAACTTCCAACACTAACTCTTTTTACAATACCAGTTGCAGCTCCGCATAGGGTTTAGGGTCTGGGTTTAGGTTTTAGGGCATAGTCCCTATATAAGGGGATCGTATATGGCGCTACCCATCAAACGTCCCAAAGCCAAAACGTCTAGGTCCTTGTCAGGTGGGTGGTTTCCCCCCCATGCAACCCTGAACCCTTTTGCTCGTATCATCCTTCTCTTAGCATGCGGCGGTGTAACCGTACCTGGTTTCTGCTACTTTTCTTGGGGGGGGGGGGGGTGGGTGGGTGGGGCGTTTTCGCCACTTTGTACAACATACTGCACAAGGATGTGGAAGAAGAAAATCTGTCACAAGCGTCCAGCCTTTCGCGACCATGCCCAACACACGTCCCACAAAAACCGTCAAAGTCCTGAAACTTGGCAAATGCATTTTCGGAAATGCAAGCCTCCAAAAAACACAGCTGCAGAGGCTGTCTTGGCAGAAATGCATGAAAACATCGCAAATTTCAGTGTTTGCCGCGCGTGCACACAGCAAAGCTGTGAGACTCGCGTCACGACTGCACACACAGCAAAGGAAAAGTCCCAGAGCGCTCAAGGCCTCAACAGCCAAACGACCCGAAAATCTTGCAAACACCCAACGATTCGCAAAAACGACTTACGAAATCACACCTTTCTAAAACCTCCCAAAATTTGCTTGTCGCCTAGGCGAAACGCTAACTTTCACCAAAAATAGGGTACGGTTTCCACGGCGGCGGGTTCTCTTACTCTGACATAGCCGTTAGTGCCGTTATCTACCCCGTGCAGTCTCAGAAGCCTTGTGTAAACCTCAGGTGGCCACCTAGGAACTCCCTTCCAGCAGTTGTCCCCAACTTAGCTCCCCCACAACAGCAACCCTGAGCCCTGAGCCCTGAGCCCTGATAAACCCTAAAACCCTAAACCCTAAACCCCAAACCCTAAACCCTAAATCCCAGGTGGCCCACAGCACCTTCAGTGGCAGTGACGGCACCCCTTTGGGTTCTGGCTGCGTCACACCCGTCCAGCTGGCGCCGGTCCGCGCTGCATGGTTTAGGGTTTAGGGTTTCGGGTTTAGGGTTTTTGGTTTCGGGTTTAGGGTTTAGGGTTTCGGGTTTAGGGTTTCGGGTTTAGGCTTTAGGCATTCATGTTCGGGGGGGGGGGGGGGGGCAAAGGGGGGGGGGGGGGGGGCAAGGGGGGGGGGGGGGGGGGGGGGGAGGGGGGGGAGGGGCGGGAGGGGGGGGGGGGGGGGAGGGGGGAGGGGGGAGGGGGGGGGAGGGGGGGGGGGGGGGAGGGGGGGTAGGGGGGGGAGGGGGGGGAGGGACGGGGTGAGGGGGGGAGGTGGTTTTTGGCCGCAGTGTTTTTAGGGTTAAGGTTTAGAGCGTGGGAATCAAGGTTTCAGGGTTTGGGGTTTCAGGGTTTCAGGATGTTTGGGGTTTCAAAGTTTCGGGCTTGAGCATGATTGTTGGGTTTAGGGTTTAGGGCGGCCGGGTTTCCGCATCAGGAGGCCTTTCGGGTTTAGGGTTTAGGTTCAGGGTTTAGGTTTAGGGTTTAGGGTTGAGGGTTTAGGGTTTCGGGTTTAGGGTTCAGGGTGAACCCCGCACCAGGTGGGACAGGCGATCACACTGGTGCCGATGGGCCTTTGGCCCCAGATCTTCCGGAATTCGCAGATTTCGGGTTCAGGGTTCCCGAATGAAAAGGATAAGTCTGCGATGTTCCTGTAGGGTTCCCTCATCCCTAAACCCTAAACCTTGAGGGTTCAGGGTTTCGTCCTTCGGCTCCAGAGGCATTGAGGGCGCGTGAATTCCAAGCTGACGTTTGCTTGATTCCAGCATGTTCAGCTAAATCTGTTCTCTTCCCGGCAAAATGCTCTGGTGGTTTTTTGACATATACTATAGCTGAAAGTCACAGCCGCTCATGAATTACGTTTTAAGCCAGTTGAGATATGTTGAGATGTTTGAGGTGTTAAGCTTTGCAAGCTCTAAACCTTAACCGCTAAACCCTAAATGCTAAAACACTGAACCCGAAAACGCCAAACCCTAAGCCCCAAGCCCAATTCCCCTAGGAAGCCCTGAGCATTTTTGGTCCCCCTGGCCTGCTTAGGCTTGCTCTAGACCACACAAGGGTTTAGGGTTTAGGGGTTCAGGGCTTGTCTCATCTCAGCCTTCAGCTGAAAATTAGAGGCCCCGTCTGGGTACTTTTTGTTCGATGGACGAAGCCCAGGAAAGCCCAAGCTTTGGCTCCAAACCCGAAGCCACCTAAATCGCAGATCCACAGTATCCTTCTCTTTTGGGGTTGAAGGCTTGTTTGGGGTTTTTCAGGGCCGCAACCCCGAACTCCGAACCCGAAACCCCCTTGACCCCCCTGACCCCCAAACCCCCCAACCCTCTCAGCCCCCTCCTGAACCCTAATTCACCCCCAAACCCCTAAACCCCCTTGGCCCCTGGAACCCCAAACCCCAAACCCCAAACCCCAAACCCCAAACCCTAAACCCCAAACCCCAAACCCTAAACCCCAAACCCCAAACCCCAAACCCCAAACCCCAAACCCTAAACCCTAAACCCCAAACCCTAAACCCTAAACCCTAAACCCTAAACCCTAAACTGTCTGCAGGTTGGTTTGCGATGGGTGACCGTGGGCTCATTCCCTGCGGCCTCGTGCAGCAGGCTTCTCCGGCTCTCTGTAGGGTCGTTCGCCCCGCTTGTAGTAGGGTTTAGGGTTTAGGGTTTAGGGTTTAGGGTTTAGGGTTTAGGGTTTAGGGTTTAGGGTTTAGGGTTTAGGGTTCAGGGTTTAGGGTTTAGAGTTGGGGGTAATAGAAAGCCCTGCCTCGCATGAGGGATTCTCTACATCAGGATTTTTGTCTTGTGGGTTCTTGTTGCAATATGGAGGCTCAAAGTTCGAGGACCCATAAAGTGACCTGAATAGAGAGAGAGCAATCCCAAACATACCCCCTGAGTTTCTTCCTAAACAGTCTTTGGGTGCTTTGTTTGCCACCCCCTTTTTTGGGAGCCTTACACAAAGTACGGTGTCTAGGGATCACTCCGAGGATCCCTCAACATGCCCAGGGGCCAGCTCCCTAAACCCTAAACCCTAAACCCTAAACCCTAAACCCTAAACCCTAAACCCTAAACCCTAAACCCTAAACCCCAAACCCCAAACCCCAACCCCCAACCCCCAAACCCCCAAACCGTAAACCCAAAACCCTAAAGGCCTACCTTAGCGCCCCCCAAAGCCCCTTCGACCACTACTGCCAGAAACGCCAATTTGCCGAGACCCCCCCCCCCCCTTCTCAAAAAAGGGGCCCTGTAGAATTGAGGGGTTTCCTTTAATACCCCCAAGAGGGGTACCTCTGGGCCCTTCGAGGGTTCTGGGGTGGTTTTTTCCCTCCCTAAACTGTTGCATCGCCAAACCCCCACCGCCCCTGCCGGAAGGCTCGCGCTGTCTTTGAGCAGCACACGGCCATCCCGAATTGGTTCATGCAGCAGTGACTGGACAAAGGTTTGTTAGAAGGGCGGAGGGTGGAAGATGGGGGCTTAAACTTGGGTCACGCCAGCGCTAGATGCGACGAGTAGATGATTATCCACAGCTGCATGACTGTTACAACTTTCTCCTGCGCGCAGCAAGCAGGATCCTGGCCGTTTGTGCACCCCCCTCTCCCCTACACCTTGCAGCCACAAAACAAAATACTTCAAACCCAAGGCGCCTAAGCCCTAAACCCTAAACCTTGCGCCCTTGCAGCCACCAGCCTCCACCCTAAACCCGAAACCGCTCAAGCCAAAACCCTCAACCCTCAACCCTAAACCCTCAAACCCTCAAACCCCCACACCCTAAACCCCAAACCCTTCCCCTTAGGCCCCATTTGGGCCTCTCCACAGCGGCCTGCTGAGGTGAGGCAGCCGCCCTCACGAGAATCCGAACGCTGAAGGCCGGAGGTTTCGGGTAGGGTTTAGGGGTTTAGGGGTTTAGGGGTTTAGGGGTTTAGGGGTTTAGGGGTTTAGGGGTTTAGGGGTTTAGGGTTTAGGGTTTAGGGTTTGGGGTTTAGGGTTTCGGGTTTCGGGTTTAGGGTTGAGAGTTCAGGGTTTAGGGCTTCGTGTTTTCCAGGGTTTCGGGTGTTTTCTTTTTTTGGGGTTTCAGGGTTTAGGATGTTAGGGTTTCGTTTTTTAGGGGGTTTCAGGGATTCAGGGCTTGAGGGTTTCGGGTTTTAGGGTTTCAGGGCTTCAGGTTTAGGGTTTCGGGGTTGCGGGTTTCACGGTAGGCTCCCCCCCCCCTTCCGAAAGCACCGGAGAGCTGGAGTTTGGGGTGTTAGGGGTGACCTTAGTCCTCGAGTCCTCGAGATTTCGACACGAACCTCAAGAAGGCCGTGTCCGAAAAAAACCCTTAAACAAGAGCTCCAAACATCCGGAATGTTCGGCGTAAACTTGAGAGTGAGTTTTTTGCAGTGGAGCACATGCTTTCAGGTCCCTGTTCTTTCCGGAGGTTTTAGGGTTTAGGGTTTAGGGTTTAGGGGCCTTAGGGGTTTAGGGGCCTTAGGGTTTAGGGTTTAGGGGCCTTAGGGGGGTTGTATTCAGCTGCTTGCCCTGCCCAGGCAGTCCATGTCTACAGGCTTGTTGAAGACCTGAATCTTTCTTTCTTTAGAGCTGAGAGGTAGCGCTCCGGCCCTCGCAAGTCTGCAGCATCCCCGGATGCGGAGGGATTTGAGAGCATTTCATTTCTTTTTCCCCCCCGGGCCGACTGCGAGGGTTGGTAATGGTACTTGGCTGATGCTTGCCTGATGGCTGGACCTCACGTGTTCGGATCATCACAACTGGTGCTCATCATTCTTCTCTGCCCACGCTGTTTCTTGTACAGCATCGGGGTCCATCCAGTAATTCGCATCTTTGGGGGGATCAGTAGCCATTGTACAGTTCCTGTAGGGGGTCTTTCGCCTTTGAACGCCCACTGCCGCCTCATTTCTCTGATGACATCTCACCACGGTGACGCGTTCTCACAGCTCCAGACGCGGCCTCAGCTGTCAGCCTTGCGGAATGCCTCACGCGTGTCTCCGGGTGAGTGTGTGAAGAGTCAGAGTCAGCTTCTTTGCCTTGGCTACTAAGGAGATGGTGCATATTGAGCAAAGCACCGTGGCCTCAAAGGGCAGCGCATGTGCTGCTTGCGTATGGTGCCAGCCAGACTGGACAGATCATTTCTCCTGTCCCAGGCCTCATGGTTTTTCGGGGCAGCTCTAGATTCGGGTCCCTTGCTGGGTACTTGTCATAGGGCTTGTTGTGGAGGGCCTGGGCGCACGAAGTGGTTGAAGCTACCTGGTCGCACTGTAGGCGTGGAGAGTTGTCGCGCAGAACTTGAAAATCCCAGCTTGCTGCGTGCACAAAGTGCATGCAGCTTGATCGTAGGAGGCGTGCACCAAAATGCCGCGCTCTGCTTAGGGTTTAGGGTTTAGGGTTTTAGGGTTTTGGGGTTTTAGGGTTTTAGAGTTCTAGGGTTTTAGGGCTTTAGGGTTTTAGGGTTCAGGGTTTTAGGGTTTTAGGGTTTTAGGGTTTAGGGTTTTAGGGTTTTAGGGTTTTAGGGTTTTGGGTTTTAGGGTTTTAGGGTGTGGGGATATCATGGACCTAGGTGGGTGACGAGCTAGGGGAGCCGATGCGGTCTTGCTCAGCCTTGCCCTGGCCGCGTTGGATCAAGTTTCCTTAGATCCGCCGCGATTCCTCAGATCCACCAGCGATCTGCCATGCTGTCTGTGGCCCTCTTCATCTTCCTGCCCCTCGGGGTCCAGTCGCAGCTGTTGTATGGGAATCGCTCGACGCTGGAGAAGCTCGCAAAGGAAGCAGAGGCTGACGCGCAGTTCTGAGGTCCAGATTCTAGGGCATTTGGTTTCTGGAGTTTGGGGGTCTCCCAGCCTTCAGCCGCCCACTATCCTCCACGGGAGGCCCGGGCGGAGCCGGAGGAGGAGGCACGTTTGCTTCGGGGGGGGGCTCGGGTTTTGAGGTGTAGGGCCTTGCTGTTTTAAACAACTACCCCCTATATCCTAAACCCTAATCGCCAGCCTTGGCCCTTGGGGTTCAGGGGACAAATGAATTCAGGTCGCCGAAGGATTCACGCATCCCACGCTTTGCGCGGGGGGCCTACTTTTTTTGCAGCATGTGCAGATTATGATGGCACCGACTTCTTGAAGGGCCCTAAACTTCCCAGACCCTGCCAAGGACCCCAGTGTAAACCAGACTGCTGGCTACATCTCTGTGAACCCCATCACGAAGTACTTCTTCTGGCTCTTTGAGGCAAAGCAGTCGCCCGCCTCAGTTGGCGCGGTTTCCACAGGGCTTAGCGGCTTCGCGTTCCTAGAGGCCTTAGGGCAGAGTCCGCAGCCCCCAATCCAAGCCGCGAGGAAGCCCAAGTTTCGGTCCAGGGCCCTACACCCCAAAATCCAAAAAGCCTGAAACCCTCCTACGCCCAAAGCCCCGAAGCCCAAGCGCCCAAAAGTAGTTGAAACCTTAGCCCAGAAGCCGTGAAACTTAAGTCCCAAATCCTGGCCGGGGTTGGCAGAGAGGCGCTCCTCCTTTTTCAACCTGCGAGCGGGGGGGCTCATGGATGCTTACAGGGCAACTATAGGGCGTTTTTTTGGCTTGTTGGGGCTGCCCACAGCTGCTCAATGTTGCCACCGTCGCCCACGCCCTGAAAGCTCCTAAATCGTAAACTGTCGTAAACCCTAAACCCTAAACCCTAAACCCTAAACCCTAAACCCTAAACCGTAAACCCTAAAACCCCCAAATGGCAGCCCGCCGAGCCCGAGGGACCCGGCGTCAGCGCCATTGCTCATGTGGCCGCCGGGCCGCGAGTGGCTTGAGGATGCTTGGGGTTTAGGGTTTAGGGTTTAGGGTTCAGGGTTTAGGGTTTAGGGTTTAGGGTTTAGGGCTCAGAGTTGAGGGTTGAGGGTTTAGGGTTGAGGGATGCCTGGGGTTGAGCGGGATCTTGGGGGTTGTGGAGTCGCAAGCTTTCGGGCATTCGGGGTCATTAGTTTGGGGTTTGGGGTTTAGGGTAAGTATCCCTGGAGCGGCAGGTTTAGGTGGGGATGTTCGAGGTAAGTTTGTTTTTCCCGTTGCTTTGGGGGGGGGAGAGGGCGGGAGTTCAGTGTTCCTTGGGACTGGGGCTACCAAGGTTGCATAAGGGTATGAAGTTTGGGGGTGAATAACGGTTTTTGACACAGAGGGTTCAAGGATCCCCTTGAGCCCCAGATTCTCATTGATCTTCCTCACATGGCGTGATGCCTCTGGCGGCCGCGGTCAACCCGCTGGGCTTTGCCCTCTTTCGGCTGCTGGCATCACAGCCTGAGAACGTTCTCATATCCCCGCTGTCCATCTCGGGATGCCTGTCTATGGTCGCAGCTGGCGCCACAGAGGGATCCGGAACAGAGAAGGAGCTGATGACCTTGCTAACCCGTCTCATCCCAGTCTTACCAGCAGACAGCACGGTGAAGATGGCCAACTCTGCATGGGTTCGCACGCAGATCCGCGCCGACTACGTGGAGGGCTTGAAAGCAAAGTTTGGTGCCGAGGCGCACGAGTTGCAGAGCACAGACCCCAAGCCCATCAACGAATGGGCGAAGGAGAAGACCTTCGGGCGCATTCCGACACTCTTGAACGGGGAGCTGGACCCTCTCACGGTGCTGGTGCTGGTGAACACGGTCTTTTTTAAGGGCTCATGGGCGACCGTCTTTGATGTCGCGCTTACCAAGAAATCGGCGTTCAAGGGCTTCTCGTCATCCCTCCCATGTGACATGATGTATAAGAAAGAGAAAAACATTGCGTACATGGAGAATGACACCTACCAAGCTGTGCGACTTCCTTACGGTGATAAGCAAACATGGGCCACCATCATGCTTCCAAAGAAGGAGGGTGCAGGGGCGCTGTCCGCGGTGGCTGCTTCGGTTGACAAAGCCTGGGCAGCCCTGGATGGGGAGTTGCGCCGTGTGGAAGTTGAGCTAAGCCTGCCTCGCTTCAAACTCAGTGCGGGTGGGTCGATGAAGGCGGCACTGCGAGAGCTCGGCTTGAAGGACGCCTTTGACTCGAGCGGTGGCTTCTTGAAGATGTCGGAGGACCCGCGGGTGCGCCTCAGCGAAGTGGTGCACAAGGCGACCCTTGAAGTAAATGAGGAAGGCACTGTTGCAGCTGCAGCGACGGGTGCCTCGATGATACCCACAAGCCTTCGCCTTCCGCTGCCGGCTGTGAAGATGACAGTCGACCGGCCGTTTCTCTTCATGCTGAGCGACAGCGATGGCACGATTTACTTCTTGGGCCAGATTGTGGCGCCGGAACTTGCCGGACTCGAGGATATGCGGGGATTGTCGTCATATCCATCGCTGCTTCACCTTTCATGTTGGGCTCTTGCCGCCGGACCTTTCATCCTTCTAATGAGACATTTCATGAAGAGATCACCGAAGAAAAGCCCTAGTTAAAGTTGGACGAGAGTGGCAAACGGCACGGATGCAGCGGCCGATGAGTGCCTGAGCTATACTTGTAAACGCTTGCGCGCGCCGCGTCGGCAGCCGGGTGTTCCCAGGCCGGCCAGGGCGGTCGTGGCCTGGCGGCACCTCCACCCAGAGGGCCGGAGGGGGGGAGGGGGGTAAACCGTAAACCCTACACCCTTAACCCTACACCCTGAGACGCTTCTGGGGCTGGAAGCTGACGCGAAGAGGCTCTGTATAATTGGAGGGACCCCCAAGCCCTGCTTGAGATTCGTGTGCCCGCGCCCCAAGAAAAGAAGTCCCAACCAAGCCCTCCCCACGACGAGGGTTTAGGGTTTAGGGTTTATATAGGGTTTAGGGTTTAGGGTTTAGGGTAAGAAGTCCCAGGCTCTCAGGTGGTCCCGGCTGCTCCTCGCAGCTGGCCCTGCGGCTCGGACGGAGAGGATTTTTTTTAATCTTAATTTTTTGCCTTCGGTTGTGAGGTGCTGTAGGACCCCCTAAACCCTAAACCCTAATCCCTAATCCCTAAACCCTAAACCCCTTAAACCTTCTAGCTAATCCCGAAACACGAAACCCTAAAACCCTGAAACCCTAAAACCCAAACCCTAAACCCTAAACCTAACCCCCCCCGCCGTCCCCAACAAAAAAACACACACACACACACACACACACCAAAACCCCGGAGCTTGGCCCAGGTTCGCAGAGAACGGGCCCTGCAAAGTGTCGAAGGATGGCGCCTCGGCTGGTTGAGTGGCTCAAGGGGGTTTTCGGATTTCGGGTTCAAGGGTTCAAGGGTTTGAAGGGGTTCAAGGGTTTGAAAGGCTTCAAGGGTTTGAACGGGTTCAAGGGTTCAAGGGGTTTAGGGTTGAGGGTTCAAGGGGATTAGGGTTCAAGGCTTCAAGGGGTTCAAGGGGTTCAAGGGTTCAACGGGTTCAATTGAAGGGGTTTAGGGTTTAGGGTTCAAGGGGTTTAGGGTTGAGGGGTTGAGGGGCTGCGGGTTTTGGGATGGAGTTCGTCTTGAACGTCTGGGGCTTAGGGGTTTAAGGGTTTAAGGTCAAGGGGTCCTAGTAGGCCCTAGGGGAAGACACAAAACCCTAAACCCTAAGCCCTAAGCCCGAAGCCCTAAGCCCTAAGCCCTACCCGAAACCCTACACCCCAAGCCCCGAAGATTTTCCGCAGACCCAGGCCAGCGCACCTATCCCAACCCCGCTTCCTGGCACAACGCAGCCAACGCCGCTTGCATGGAAGCTGGTTCCCCTAAACCCTAAACCCTAAACCCTAAACCCTAAACCCTAAACCCTACACCCTACACCCTACACCCTACACCCTACACCCTACACTCTAAAAAACCCTAAGCCTAAAGGTCTGAACCTGAACCCTAAAACCCCACACCTCAAACCGCCCAAGCTCTCAACATCTCAAAACCCGCCCAAACCCCTCAACGTGCGTCGCGCGACTTCCTGGTGCTTGCTACCCTCTTATGGGCATTGGGCATTTAAGGTTTCGAGCTGCGGCTTCAGGGTGTGGAGTTTAGGGTTTAGGAACTACGAGAGATGTGTGTATACACATACACAGAGTTTTCCAATGATCAGCACCTTTGCTGCCCCCCTAAAGCGTCAACAAATATGAAGGAGATCGCAGCCGCAGGTTTCTCAACGTCGTGGACCCGCTAGCCCGCACCCCTAGACCCCAAGCCTAGACCATTCTTGAACGAATTCTAAGTCTCTATTCATGAGGGACCACAAAATTATACAATGTTTAAGGGGTTGCAAGCACAGTCAAAGAAGCTCTGAAACCCTCAATCCTAGAGCCCTGACTAGAGTAACCCATGAAGGTGATGTGGGTCGACCAGCCTGCAGGGGTGGGCTTCTCTACCGGCATTGGCACCCACAACGAGCAGGGAGTTGCGGACAACATGTACGTGCACGCCGGCTGCGGATGGAGCTTGTTTCGGGTTTCGGGCTTGTAAGGTGTGGCGTGTGTAACCGGTGCAGCAATACGGCTTGTGGGACACGTTCTTTTTGAATGCCCGCTTCTGCACCGATGGTGTCACTTTTTAGGAAATTCCCGCCTTGTTCCAGCAGTCGGAAGCAGCACACACAATGTCCCTGCCAGTAGCCAGCAACAGAGCATAGCAGATCAACGTGCCAAAGCTGCAGCAGCCACGGTTCTCGGATCATTATGAGAACCCCAAGCCAGTGTTGATGCAAAGCACAAAAATGACTGGCAGCAGATGTTGCAGTTGTGAAACTATGCCAAGACGAATGCGACTCTCTGTTGCGACTCCTTGAGGTTCTTGCAGAAGTTCTTCCAGCAGTTCCCGCAGTACCAGAAGACCAGCTTCTTTGTATTCGGGGAGTCCTACGCAGGACAAGCGTATGCTGACCAGCCACGCCACAGACGCAGCGGAGACATGTCAGAACTCCGACAGGACACTACGTGCCTGCGATAACCCACCGCATCTGGAGCGGCAACAAGGCTCAAGTCGTTCTCTCTGAGTTGGGTTCAAGAAAATGCAGGGCTGAATCCAAAGCTCTAAATCCCCAAACCCCTAACTCCCTAAATCCCCAACTCCCTAAATCCCAAAGTTAATCCCTAAAGCGAGCTGCCATGATCTAAGGGTAGTGGAAAGGGGCACATAAGGTTCCAAAGTTCCTCAAAACCCCTAGGCCCTAAACCCTAAACTTGTGCTAAGGGCCCATGTAGATACTTGAAGGATCATGCAGAGTTATAAGTAGGGGCAGAAGTACCCAAAAGGTTGTAGTATAGGTTGCCTGACTCACCACCCTCCTCAGAACTACCCACCTGAAACCCTGACACCCACTAGGTAGTACGACATGAACCCCATCAGGCCGACGAGGGACTCCACATCCCGCTCAAGGGCCTAGCGATCGGTGCAAGCCTCAGTGTTTAGGGTTTAGGGTTTAGGGTTTAGGATTTAGGGTTTAGGGTTTAGGGTTCCCCGCCCCCCCCCACCCCCCCCTAAACCCCTGAAGGCCCTGTGAGACCCGAATCCTCTAAGGCCTCATCCGCTACGGAAGCCGGAAGCCACGATTCAGGGCCCCTCAACCCTGAACCCTAGACCCGAAAAACCCAAGCGGAACACAAACACATAAGAGAGGGGGGGGCGCCAAACCCTAAACCCTAAACCCTATACCCTAAACCCTAAACCCTAAACCCTATACCCTAAACCCTAAACCCTAAACCCTAAACCCAGGCCCTAAACCCTCAACCATTGGGGGGATCGCCGGAGAGGCAACGGGCTGACCGACCCGTTGGAGCAGTACAAGCGCCTCGCCCGGGGTTTTTTGGGGGTTTGGGGATTTGGGGTTTAGGGTTTAGGGTTTGGAGTTTAGGGTTTGGGGTTTGGGGTTTAGGGTTTAGGGGGTTGAAGGGTTAAACGGAGGGTTGCCGTTCGAGATCTGGGGGCTTGAGGGCCTGTGGGGGGTTCAGGGGTTTGAAGGTGCTGGGGTTTAATGTCTTTTTTCTTCTCTTTTTACAGGTTTCAAGGCGGCCTTAAGGTTTTGTTAAGGGGCTTGGGGTTTAAGGTTGAAAGGTTGCGGAGTGCCGAGTTCAGGGTTCCCCACAGGCATCTCTGACTTAGGGCAGATCAAATACTCATCTTTGCGATTCAATAGAAAACTCAATAGGATTTAAGGCAAACATGTATTAACGAGTTTGAAAGTAAGTAGCTGAATGCGAAACAAGTAAAACCGCGCAGGCATGCGCGCACCCACCCACACACACACACTCCCACTCCCACATAGACATTTCTTCTGTTCATTCCTTGCTTTTGTTCTTTTTAACGTCTTTCACACGTTTCCTTGGAGAATATTTTGAAGATTGGAGATGTCGGCAACCCTTTGGGTTTAGGGTATTTTGAGGGTTCAGAACTGAAAGTTAAAAGCCCTAAACCCGCAGGGCTTAGTGTTTAGGGTTCCTGGTTAAGAGTTGCTTGTTGCCTCGCAAGGTGGTATCCCGAGATGGGCCACTTCGGTGGACAGCAGGAGGGAGGGCACGCGCCGGCAAACGTGATCAGCAAGGGCGACTACTACATCATGCGCCTGCGCCGGGTTTGGGCCCTGAACCCTAAACCCTAAACCCCAAAACTCTTGACCTCCCTCGATGCTTTTGAGATCCTACTTCCGATATGGGGATTCCTTTTGAGATCCTACTTCTGACATGGGGATTCTTGGTCTGGGCGTCAGGAAAGCGCTGGTCCCGGCGTGTGAGCTTGGGATCATTGCCTGCAACAGAGGCGGCCTGTTCTGATCTTTGCATCCGGAATTTCAAGCTTGGAGGATAGTAGGGATCTGAGCACGCTTTACCCCAAACCCTAAACCCTAAACCCTAAACCCTAAACCCTAAACCCTAAACCCTAAACCCTAAACCCTAAACCCTTGGGGCGTTTTGCAGGCGTGGACCCAGACCCCCAGACCGGCGGCGTGGTCAACGCCACGGCCTGCTTTGCGGCCTACGACGCGTGCAACTTCATGGCCATCATGCCGTACGAGTTGACAGGCCTGGTGGGTTCAGGGGATGGTTCCCTAATTCCACTGAATCCGCTCTAGGGTTTAGGTTTTAGGGTTTGGGGTTCTAGGGCTCTAAGCTTCCAAAGTTCTGGGGTTCAGGGGATGGTTGAGGCTTGAGGGTTTTGGGGACTTGCGCCCCTTCTTGCCCCCCCCCCCCCCCCCCCAAGCTTGCAGAACGTGCGTGCTTCTTGCAGGCAAGAACCCCTACGACATGCGCATCCTCTGCGAGCACGGGCGCCTGTGCTACGACTTCGACATGATCACGACCCTGCGGCTGCAATGTGGGCTCTCTTCTCTGCTGCGCGCATGAAGCCTTGAGCCCACTGTGAACGATCCCCCAAGCAGCCGCAGCCCGAAACCAAAACCTGAAGTTTCAAACCGTAACTTATGAACCCCAACAGCCTCCAAGATAGCAAAGCAGCAAAAGTCCTAAACCTTACAAGCCTGCAGGAGATGAATGCACAGTAGGACTAGTCGGAAGCACATGAAGAATCTGAACAACATATGCTGCATAACAAGAATTAAGAAGAATCTGAATTGTATGCCTGTGTGTGCTCAAGCTTTGATTTGTTCTCCATGTCGTCCAGGTGCCCAGGACAGCATGTGGCATGTGGTGTGGGGTCCCGCCCCCCCCCCCCCCCCCCCCCCCAAAAAAGGTCGGGTTGAACGGGCAGGGCATGGCAGGGTGGGCTCCGGCTCATGGATGCCGGCCACTTCATCTCCCATGATCTTGTGTTTTAGGGTTTAGGGTTTAGGGTTTAGGGTTTGTTTAGGGTTTGCAGGCAATCGCCGAGGTTATGTCTAATTTGCTGTCTTTCCGTTAGCCTCTTCGCGGGCTGGCGCGTTGCAAGCATTGCTTCAGAGCCGTCGTGGGAGGCGAGTCTGCGTTGCCATGTTGGAAGGTTGTGAGCTGTGCTCCGTGCCTGTTACCACGTCATGAGATACCGATGTGGCCGCTTTCGGTACCGACGCTAGAGCTAAGGACCTACTTGAACAAGCCGGAGGTGCAAGCAGCGCTTGGCCCTCGGATTTGTAGGGATTGAATTTTGAGGGGTTTAGGGTTTCGGGTTTAGGATTTGGGGGTGCGTGTTTTTTTTTTTTTTTGGGGGGGGGGGTGCAGACTTGGGACTCCAGGAGTTTGCTTCTTTTGGTTTGCGGGTTTTTAAAGCTCAGGGCTTAGGAATTGGGTTCAGGGTTTTAGGGGCTTTGGGCCCCCTGAACTTTAGGGACTGAGGATTTAGGGCTCAAGGCCCAAAGGGCTCAGTTTCCGGAGTTCCTCTCGGGTCTTAGGCTGAAAAAAAACTCATGTCAATAGTTTACCAACAACCGGGATGTGTAGTTTTTGTTTTCGTATGATGATTGTAACTTGGTACCCTGAACCCAAGCCCGTTGCCAACTGTCGTGGCGGGAGCCGTCCGTGAGCCGGTGGGTTCAGGGCTCTCGGGGCCCTCCAAGCCCAGGTTGGGCGTCAAGAAGACCTGGGGCTCCTGTAACATGGCGGTGGACCTGCCCCTTGGGCTCGATTTAAGGTTTAGGGTTTGGGGTTCCAGCGGGAAAGGTTTGTTTTGGGTTTTGCGGGTGTTTGGGGGTTTGTGGTTTTGGGGGGGGTTTACTGTAGGGTTGCCTTTCTTTGGGCTCTGGGGATGAGGATGTTTCTTTTTCTCTATTTTTTGTCATTCTTTCTACCCTCGTTTTCAAGGAGCTCTTCCTCCATCCTCCTCTCTCAACCTCCCTTCCTCTGGCTTTGGCTCGGGCGCGCGCTTGGGTGCGCCGAATCTTATGAGACTCCTCCCTGGAGTCTTGGCGCCGGGCTTTTGAGGTCGTGCAAGAACCTGCCCTAGACCCTAAACCCTAAACCCGCAACCCTCAACCCTCAACCCAAAACCCTCAACCCTCAACCATCAACCCTCAACCCTCAACCCTAAACCCCAAACCCTAAACCCCAAAGCCGAAACCCTAAACCCTGCACCCGCGAGGTCCTTCGTCACTGCTGGAGACTGGCTGATCCGGTACCAGGGCTTGATCCCCGCAGCTGGGACTGGGTGCGGGTTCCCAAAACCAGAGCAGCTCCCTCTGTGCAGAACTCCAAAGCCCTCAACCTTTCGTAAACCCTAAACCCTAAACCCTAAACCCTAAACCCTAAACCCTAAACCCTAAACCCTAAAGCCTAAACCCTAAAGCCTAAACCCTAAACCCTAAACCCTGAACCCTGAACCCTGAACCCTAAACCCTGAACCGAGTAGCAGCCAAGGATCTCCTCAAAGATGGCATCGATGTGCTGATCTACGCCGGGGACGTGGACTACATCTGCAACTGGCTGGGGAACAAGGCGCCGATCAGAAATTATTGGGAGTGCGCTTTCGCGATGGAAAAGCTCCAGCTTCTTTTCTCCAGAATTCGTGCTTCACCAAAGAAAATTTCAAGCCAGTATGGACTGCACCTCCACAGAGTCGAATGCGCGGCAATCTCTATGAACTTGCCCGTGAACAGTTTTGGCAGCATCCGCTCCAAAGGTGGCAAGCATCTTGCGACGATCTTAAACCCAAAGCCCGACGCCCTAAACCCTAAACCCTAAACCCTAAACCCTAAACCCTAAACCCTAAACCCTAAACCCTAAACCCTAAACCCTAAACCCTAAACCCTAAACCCTAAACCCTAAACCCATAAACCCTAAACCCTAAACCCTAAACCCTAAACCCTAAACCCTAAACCCTAAACCCTAAACCCTAAACCCTAAACCCTAAACCCTAAACCCTAAACCCTAAACCCTAAACCCTAAACCCTAAACCCTAAACCCTAAACCCAACAAGCCCTGAGCCCCCGTAGGCCTGGACAATGAAGCTCGACTGGGAGCACGCGGCGGAGTTTAACCAGGACCCTCGTGACCAGGAAGCCCTTACCCTGAGCTCTACACACCGAACATGCCCTGTAAGGGAAGAGCCTATAGGGCCTACAAACCCTGTAAGCCCCCATAACCAGCCTTTTTCCACCCTTTAAACCTTATAAACCTCGAAACCCCATAAGCACCCTGTACGCTCGACCCTAAACCGTAACCCTAAACCCTCAACCCTAAACCCCTAACCCCCCCCCCCCCCCCAAACAAAAATCCAACCTGCAAAGAAAGCAGGCCAAAGACGAGGAGTGGAAGGTTAACTTCCGCACAGCACCTCGGCTTCCGGATCTGGGGGCTTTGGTTCGAGGTCTCGCCCTAAACCCTAAACCCTAAACCCTAAACCCTAAACCCTAAACCCTAAACCCTAAACCCTAAACCCTAAACCCTAAACCCTAAACCCTAAACCCTAAACCCTAAACCCCAAACAGTCACAGCCCACGCGCCCGGAACTCTCAAGCCCCGAGCTCGAGAGAGCCGGAGCCAAGGCGGCGAAGCTTCGGTCCTCCAACGGCCTCAGCTTCATGCAGGTCTTCGAGGCGGGGAGCATGCCCTGACAAGGTTTTAGGGTTTTGGGGGTTTAGGGTTTAGGGTTGAGGGTTTAGGGTCGTTTAGGGTTTAGGGTTTAAGGTTTAGGGTTTAGGGTTTAGGGCTTAGGGTGCCCTGACGATGTTTTAGGGTTTTGGAGGTTAGGGGCTGTAGCATTTTTCGGGTTGAGGATTGTGGGTGTAAGGTTCTGGGGTTCATGGTTGCTAAAGCCCCCCAAAAGCCCCAAACCCTAAACCCGAAACCCTAAACCCTAAACCCTAAACCCTAAACCCTACACCCTAAACCCTAAACCCTGAACCCTAAGCCCCCCAAAAGCCGCGCCAGGCCGGTCACATGGTGCCCATGGACCAGCCACAGGTGGCCCTGGAGATGGTTCGCCAGTTCGTGGCCTGGGCTGAAATTCCAGGTTTCAGGTTTCAGGGTTTAGGGCTGCAAAGGCTGCACACATGGAACCCTAAACCCTAAACCCTAAACCCTAAACCCTAAACCCTAAACCCTAAACCCTAAACCCTAAACCCTAAACCCTAAACCCTAAACCCTAAACCCCAAACCCTAAACCCTAAACCCTAAACCCTAAACCCTGAAAGCCTAAACCTCCAAGGCTTTACATTCCCAAAAGGGCGCCAGCTCGCAGTGAAAACCCTACACCCCAAAACCTAAACCCTAAACCCTGAACCCCAAACCCTAAACCCTAAACCCAAAACCCTAAAGCCGAGGTGAGCGGCAAGCTGCAGCAACACCAGGTCGAGCCTGAGCTCGTTGTGTAGTTGCGGAGCGTCATCGAGCCGTTAATGGTATCCGAGCCTGCAAGAGCTGACTGTTACTCTGAGGCCACCCTAACTCCACCCCCCAAAAAAAGGACCTAAAGCCAAAAGTCCGAAAACAGTCCGAAAACCTTACTAGGGTTCAGGGTCGCCATTTGGGCGCTGAGTCCGTAACATCTGCATGGACAACGGTCAGCTTTCGGAGCTCCCTGGGTTTTGCTCGGCGTGGCAAGCTGACCCCTGCGACAGCTCGAGCAAAGGGATTTCAAGACGTTTCGTTCCGGCGGAGAAAAAATGCCAGTTTCGCATGCCTCTCTGCTGGCAGCGGCCATGCAGGTACCTAAACCCCAAAAGATGCTTGGGGGCCTCAACGATGCCATCGTTGGCCGTTCTCTCTTTGGCTCAGCTGCAGGCAGAGGCTTTTTGACCCACCCCGGTAGAAAGACCAACGGGTGCGGGCAATGGCCGAGGCGGCGGTTCGCCGTGTCGTGTTGTATGCAGATGCAGGTCTCTTGAGTACAGGTGGCATTCTACGGCTAAAGTCTGCAGTCTAGAGGCTGAAGGCTATAGTCTACAGGCTACAGCATGTTGTCGGCAGAGCCCTTGCGGAGACCGTGTGGTGCAGGCCCCAAAGAAATTGGTCAGCAAAGAGAACTTCACGCAGTGGACAAAGGCCGGCTACTTCCTTTTAGGGTTCCAACCCACCCCCAGAGCTTCCCCCAGATGCTTTGCTGCCACTTTTCAATATATAATAACGATAAAACAGCATAAGAACATAGTAATACGTCAATCTATAAATGATGTCATCATGTCGTAAGATTGCAGGACTGTGGCGTGAAATGCATCCAGAAGCAGTATGACGAGATGGGAAAAGCAGCGATACAGCTCGGTCCCGAGCCCTCTCGTGGGGGGGTTTCCTTTAACATGCGTGCCCTTCTACTATGGTTTAGGGTTTAGGGTTTAGGGTTTAGGGTTTAGGGTTTAGGGTTTAGGGTTTAGGGTTATTAGAAGGATTTCTGTCATTTTTGGGGTTTGGAGTTTGGGGCGGTTTCCCTTCTTGAGGGGTTGCCTATCATAAGGACTCTCATATTTTCGGGGCCTCTTTGTGGCTTCAAATTACGCGCTTCTGAAACTTATAGGGTTCTTAAGGGACGGGGGTGTTCAGGGGGGCTTCCTAGGGAACCTTAAGGAAACTTAGGGAGCCTTCGGGAGCAGTGGGAGAATTAGGGAACCTTGGGTTACATACCCCCCCCCAAAACCCCCAAAACCCAAGCTGCCAAGTCCTGTGGTGTGGGCCTAAAGAATTCATCCCCGTGACGGCTTAGGGTTTAGGGTTTAGGGTTTAGGGTTTAGGGTTTAGGGTTTAGGGTTTAGGGTTTAGGGTGTTGGCCTCTTAAACCCTTCGGATCCTGAGGAACGGGCGAACGCTCCAAGCAGAGATGCAGGCTCAGGGATTCAAGGACAGTTTCTGGGTCGGGTTTGGGAGTTTAAACCCGAAACCCTCACCTTAAACTCTAAATCCTACACCCTAAACCCCAAACCTTAAACCCTAAATCCTAAACCCTAAACCTTAAACCCTAAACCCTAAACCCTAAACCCTAAGCCCTAAGCCCTACGAAGCCCTACGAAGCCCTAAACCCTAAACCTGCCAGAAGGTTTGGGGTTTTCGTGAGGGGACCATCAGAAAGAGGCCGCCCATACTTTGAGATCCATCCCCCGGAATCCTGCAGAAGCCCTAAACTCTAGTCTCTAAACCCTGAACCTTACATAAGCCCTAAACCCTGAACTCTGAAACCTAAACCGTGAACCTTAAACCCTAAACCTTGGACCCTAAACCCTAAACCCTACCCCCTCAACCCTGAGGCCCTAAACAAACCCTAAACCCTAAACCCTGGACCCTAAACCCTAAACCCTGAACCCTAAACCCTAAACCCTAACCCCTAAACTCTAAACCCATCAACCCATCCTTAGCGGCCAGGACTTCCACGCCTTCAGCAAATCCTGCCCCAGGTTCCGGAAGCCCGGGGCCCTACTGGTGGAGAGGGCTCATCTCGTAGGGTTTAGGGGGGTTGGGGGGGGGGGGGGGTTGGGGGGGTTTAGGGGGGTTCAGGGGTGGTTTAGGGGGTTTAGGGGTTTTAGGGGTTTTAGGGGTTTTACGGGGTTTAGAGGGGTTTAGGGAGTTTAGGGAGTTTGGGGGGGGTTTCTGTGGGTTTAGGTTTCAGGAAGCCTGGAACTGCAAAGTACATATTCTGCATGTAGCAGAGAAGGGTTCAGGCGACAGGGGCGAAGTTCTCCAGCATTCATCTTCAAGCGTCCCTAAGCCCTAAACCCTAAGTCCCAAACCCTAAACCCTAAACCCTAAACCCTAAACCCTAAACCCTAAACCCTAAACCCTAAACCCTAAACCCTAAACCCTAAGCCCTAAACCCTAAACCCCAAACCCTACACCCCCGAGGGCTTGCTGGCCCATCGAGCTTGCTGAGCTGGGCAGCGGCTACGTCAATGCCTCGAGGGGTTGGCAGTTTCGGACCTCTCCTTGTGGGCGTTTCGGCCCTACACCCTAAACCCTAAACCGTAAACCCTAAGCCCTAAACCCTAAACCCTAAATAGTTTTACTTGTGGGGGGAACCTAGGGGGAGTCGTATAGAGGGGTGTAGTAGGCGAACCCATGAACTCAGGTGCTCTACTTCCAGTTCTTGGGCTTCCTGATGTGCATCTTCTTCGTGCACTTGTGCCTCCAGGCGCCCGGCGACCCCGGGCATCATGAGATGGAGGTAAGATACAGGTGTACCTGTCAGCTGACTCGAAGATGGACCCGGAGAGCTGAAAAACCCTGCGTTAAGGAGCATACCAAAGGCGATACCTTAGATGATATTGAGTAGCCTGCTATAATGGAAGGTGTGTTTTGCTGATCGGTTGGGGCAGGCGCCCGTCATGGCGGTCTATGCGGAGGCTGGCAACCTCGCGGAACCTGGGCGGCAGCCAGCTTGGTTCTGGAGCTGAGGGCTTCAGGTGTTGGAGGCTGAGGGTTTAGTATGGCGGGTTGAGGGATTAGGGCTTGAAGGCTCCGGGGTCTTGAGTTAGATGAATTTTAGGGTTTTTTTTGGGAGTGTAAGGTTTGGGAGGCTGTAAGAGTTTTTGTGGCTTCTGGAAACCAAAGCGACGATGCAGTGCAGTCTCTAGAGCCCGAAGCCCTGTAAACGACACCCAAGAACCCGAAGCCCAAGAGTTGATCTGTTGCGCGTCTCCACTGTGGCATGGTACAGTCTCTGGATCAAACCTTTCCCAGGACTGGTACTGGAACGACGACTGGACCAAGGCATGTTGCGTAGCTTGCGGTTTTTGATCTGAGGGTGTGGGGTGGATGCTTCGGAACTTTCAAGAAGGAGTTTTACTGCAGCCGCGTGGAGTTGTGAGAACGTCCGCCATGGCGCGTGCTTTGGGCGTAGGCTTTCGACTGAGGAATGATATGTGGAAATTGCAAGTGCTGTTTGTGCATGACTTCCGGGGCAGGCATACAGCAACGATGCCTCCGTGTGCACCTGCCTGCTGGCTGCATTTTGGGACCCTACACCCTAAACCCCTAAACCCTAAACACAAAATTGCTGCTACAACCATCCCCAGCTCCCCAAATTCTGAGCCCGAGGTGTTCTTTCTGGGGGCTTCTGAGTCAGGGCCGCTTTCGAAGGGGCCTGTCTCTATACGGAGATCGAATTGCAAAAGGTTTCTGCTAAGTAGCTTTGGGTTTAGGGTTTAGGGTTTAGGGTTGAATTAGGGTTTAGGGCTCAGCGCAAAACCCTAGACCCTTTACGGGCTGCAGCCTGCTGAAGCTGTCCGTGTGAGGTGTTGGCGACAGCTCGGGCTATGCGGCGTGGGCCCCAACCGCTTTGGAGTGTTTTTAAAACGGCCCCGTAGTATACAAGATTATACAAAGGGTTTAGGGTTTAGGGTTTAGAGTTTAGTTTTTTTTAAAACGGGTTTTGGGGCTTTTGGGGTCCGGGTTTGGAGCTCTTGTGAAGGGCATCTTGCACCTTGCGCTTTTGGCTTCGTGGTCCCTTTGGGGTCGCCTTGGGAGGTATAGGGTTTGTAGGGTTCAAGATGCAAGTAGGATGCGCTCCCGGACCCCTAGCCTCTTAGGCCCTGAACCATTGAAACCCCCAAAACCCAGAACTCTGAACCTTGTTTCAGTCCGCAACCTTGTTAAGCCCTTCACGCTGGCCCTTCAGCAGGGCCTGGGCCGAGGGTTTTAGGTTAGGGTGTAGGCTCACTTTGCTTCGTGCAGCCTGGGGGTCACCACCCTGATCCCCTAAAAGGGAATTTTTGCCCCTAACCCTGAAATAAGCTTAAGCCTTTTTTTTTCGGAAGCCCAAGAGATGGGGGCCCCCGACAACCTGAGGCTTCTTGTGGCGCTTGGGACCTCCCCTCGTGTGAGAATGCGACGGACTGCACTTCAGCTGCTTTGTGGCTCCTTTGTGGTCGGTGTTTCTTAGGGGCGGGTGGGGGCAGGGGACTTTAAGGGTTGACCCTTGGGGCTTCTCTGGGTTTAGAGGGTACTGCTCTCTCTCGGGATTTCTGGACGTTTCTTTCTTTGCGCTTTGGGATAACCATCCTGGGTTGAGGGCCGAGGGTCTCGGGCCTCTGCGAATCATGGTCAAGGCTTGGAAGTCTCGGGGCGGATTTTATGCATCCCAGGCACAGCTTAGCTGGTTAGGGTTTAGGGGTTAGGGTTTAGGGTTTAGGGTTTAGGGTTTAGGTTTAGGGTTTCGGGTTTAGGTTTTAGGGTTTAGGTTTAGGGCTCATCACCGTATAACGTTGTCGTACCAGTCATTGCTAGGATTTGTGCTTCGGGGCGCGATGGTCACATTCCCCCTTGCAGTACAGTGCTGCAAGCGTAGCGCCCTGCCCAGGTAGTTTCGACAATCCTGGTAAGTGGGTCTGTCAGAGCTGGTGCTACACGTCCAAGCCGCTCGGACGGGACATGTGTCTTATACAGCAGAATATGC